CCTAAAGAAGTCCTGTAGACACTGAAGTAGTCCAATTCTTTTTATACCATGAAGGTGCCACACTACTGTTTTAATAGAAAAGTGGTATCATTGCATGTCCCATGCATTATCTTGAAAAAACTGGTAATAAAACTCAGTCTTAGGGGTGTGAGTATATTTGTTCAGAGGCGCTCCTGTGATGTTTCCATCTCTGGAACTTGGATTTGAACTTTAACTGTGCTGTTTACTATCTAACCATGCAGAAAGTATTTTAACCTCTCCTATGTGCCTCAAATTCTGCCTCTAGAGAGGATGGATGATAATAGGACCTTGCTAAACAGACAGATGTGAGGATAAATGAGTTGATCTCTGTGAAGCACTTAGAACAATGTCTGATACATTAGTAAGCCCTCAAGAAATGTTACCTAAATAGAATGAGTTTTGTATCATTGACATAGAAATTATATTCAGAAAAATTTTCCCAACACACATGGGTATAGAGAACAATATGCATTGGAACATTTATAAGTGTATAAATATGGTAGCAAATTTAGCTACATCTATATTCAAACTTTTTAATATTAAGCAATAGAAATATGACATGATTTCATGTAAATATTATTTCACTGATATGAAACAATAAGCAAAGTGCAATATAAATAAAACAATTGTTAATAGACAAAGATGATCAGATTTATGGGTTTTTTCTTCACACCTTAGCTCTTTGTTTCTACAATAAATATGACTATAGGAACAAAAAGTAACATATGTTAAAGTAAATTATTCTATGAATTATAACAAAGTCAGTACAGAAGGGAAACATAAACTATGAAAACTGGGGGATATTTCCAAGATCATTTATCCTAACCTCTCTCTATTAATGAGGGAATAGTAAGTTAAGAAAATGGCTTGGTTTGAACTTATTGATAATGTATAATAGGTATACATTATCAATCTTTCGATATTTGAGGCAATATCTGAAGTCATACAATTAGAGTTTGAATAGAGATGTTAAGTTTCTATAGTGGTCTAACTTGTTAAAATACATGTATTCAATGAGGTTTTGCTGTGATACTATCTCATGTATACATGATTAAGGAAAATATGAAATGATCTTTTGGAAATTGGAAATTATTTTCTTTGGTGCTATGCAAGAATATATAAGTCTTTAAAGGAAAATGCCATTATGACAAAAGCTGTAAAACAATATTGGTATTTCAGAGAGACAGATTTTAATCAGTTTAAAGGGAACAGAGGGAAAATGTTTTTAATTAGGTAACTATCCTAATATTTTGGTGTTAGAATGTAAAGTTAATACTGTATAATTCTCCCTGGCTGACAGGAGAGTGACAGGTAAGGTTGGAGTCACTGACCAATTAGACAAGACTCTGAGAGGTGACATCTCAAAAAAAAAGTAGCAATATCACATATTTGAATTAATGAACTTGCTCTAATAGGTATGCATTGTCAATCTTTCGGTATTCGAGGCATTATTTGAAGCCAGTATTAGATGTATATACCTTACCTGTGACTCAATCTTACTCTCATAGCTTTCCTTTCTCTTGTATTTTGGACTTAGTTTATCTTGCTGATATAATGTTTCCTTGAAAGTCACCCTGACTCATTTCTAGAATTTAATGAGGCATAAATAGACTATTTTGTTACGGGTGTGATTATTGCTACCCTAGGACTTATTCCTACCATTTTACTTTGTTTTCTATTTCTTATGCTTTCTTACTGTACATTCACTCTTTTATAGTGGGTAGAGGATTTTTTCTTGTCTTAAAGTTCTGCATTCTATTTTTATTCTCCTGGTGGTTACCACGGATTTATTAACACTCAAATGCATGCTTATTTAATATTTAGCAACACTAAGGCTAAGATACACCTATATATTACCCTGGGCCAGCAAACCATTGAGTTGGCCTGTTCTCATCTTCCATTGGTGCCAAGAATACTGCCTCCAGTTTCCAGTCAAGTAAGTATTTTCTAGAGTTTTAATACCAGATTATAAGAATTAGATTTTTACAAATTTTTTGCATATTTTGACAAGTTCATCCATCTGCTTTTTCTCTATATCTTATTGCCCTCTGCATTTATTTTCCTTCTTTCTGAGGTACAACATCTAAAAATTCTTTCAAAGTGGATCGTGTTGTAATCCTATTTGAGATCCTTTAACCTGAAATATCTTTAATCCTCTATCTTAAGTGCAAATTTAGGTATATATGGAATTCTTTATTAAAATTTAATTTCTTTGGCCCTTCCAAAAAAGTTTGATAGTCTTCTCAAGCCAGTGTTGCTGTTAAGGTACTTAATGCCAATCCAATGTTTACTCCTTCAAGAGAATCTGATTTTTCTCTCTAGAAACTATTGTGGTTTTTCTTTGCCTATGGTGTTCTTAAATTTTACTAAGATGCATCTAGAGTACTTTTCTACCCTACGTGACACTCTCTGAGCCGTGTTATTCCAAAATATTATGACAATATTTACTATTTGTAAAATTGCCTTTATATTCTCAAATTATTCCCTTTCTGTTTGCATTTTTTTCTGGGGTTCCTTTTGGGTAGATGTTGAATGTTCCTGTCTTCTTCTATGTTTGTTACCTTTCCTTTCTCATTTTTCCTTTTTAGATGGCTTTTAGGAATATTCTTTGACCTAAGCCCTTGCTCACCAAATGTGTCTATCTACTGAGATTATTCAACAACTGTATGTCTTATCCCAAATGTCTCCAACTGATTTTTCTTCATAGCTGCTTTTTCCTACTTCATGTTCCAAATATCCTCGTCCATCTACAAGTATTTTAAACTCAACTCTATTTTTCATTAGGACTGTCTCATTTTGTAGAGCTTCTTCAATTTGTTATTTTACTTTTAAGTCCTCAAAACTATTGATTTTACTGTAACTGAAATTTTATCCTCTGCCTTCATTAGCTGTATTGACTAGTTTTGCCAACTCTATGGGAATTGATGAAAGCCTGGACTTTAGCGTTGCACTCACTCCAGTGAGGGAAGAGAGCTTCAGAGTAGAGAGCCTCTCTCTTGTAATCCAGGCCTCTCTTTCTATTAGCTCTTAGTAAGATTCTCCTGGCATCTTAGCCAAGAGATTCCTAGGCATCTCTTGGCTGCTGAGAAAATTCTCCAGTGCTTCTGATCCAAGTTGTGTTTTAATCCAAGATGAGACACATTTTAAGGTTATTGCTTAGTTCAGGGAATGCAAAAAAATGTCCTGGATCATTGAAATATTTATTGCCATTGGCTGCCCAGTGGAGCAAAGGTTCAAGCAATTAAAGAAAAGGGCACTACTAGAAAACTCTCCCTAGGCCGGCCACAAATGCACACCCTTCCTGGAACTCTTCTGTTGGAATCTGTTTCATACTGGGACTCATTCACTCTCTGACTCCCTTGGATTTTCACTAATGCTGTTAGTTGCCATTGGCATCTCCAAATCTAGGTTGAAGGGAGGAAGCCAGAAGCCTGGACTTGTTATTTGCTTATAAATATATAGAGTATCATTTATATGTGAACTATATGTTGATTTTTTCTTAGTCTGACTAGGATTGTATCATTTAACTTCACATATATACAGAGATTTTAACTGAATGAAAGCTATGATAAATTTGCATAGTAAATAAAATTTTAAACAACATTTTAGCTTTGAAAGAATAGCACCTGGATACAAAATACAGATACATATAACCCAGACAATATGATAATACATTGATATTTAACACACTTTAAAGTTTGCATTTTTCAGAAAAAATGCTTCACAATTTGGGCACTCATGGTATATTTTACCAATAGAAGCTCCACAGGAAATCTCAATACATTTTGAAAAATATTTTAACTATTCACATTATTGTATTGTTGCAAGAAAAATTTTAAATAATAGTAGAAGGCTAAACAAACACTACCAACAACATAAAACATAAAAGCAAGCTTTTTAGAAATTAAAACTTACCTGCTAAAAACCATGGAGATTAAATTATAAATTAAAATGTTGGTTATATGTCAAGGTTGGCCAGGGTGTAGGAAAGTGGACATGGATACATACTACTGTTGTGTGAACTAATACAGCCTTTTGTGGACAGCAATTTGAGAATACTTATCAAAATTAAACATGTACATATCCCTTGACCGAGGAAACCCACTCCCTGAAATCTATTATAAAGAAATATTTGCACATGCAGGCAATGATAGGAGCATAGGAATGAACATTTACAGCCTTTAAAAAATGTAATGCATATTTATGTGAGTAAAAACTATTTAAAACAATAAAGAGATTGTTGGCAGTTGGTAACATTGAAAAGAAAGCTGGTTTGAGGTAAGATACGGTAGAAAGTTAATTTTTTAATTTCATATTTCTGTATTGCTCAAAATTGTATAATTAATAAGCCATTAGGTAATAATATTTTTAATTCTAGAGTATTTTAGAAGTAATCATAATGTAATTAAAAATGTCACTATAACAAGTGGCCAAGGATCTTTTTACACACCACTTCAGATCCTTGAGCGCTGACATGATACTAGAATGAATGTAAATATATAAATAAAATAGTCAATCATAGAAACTGAGTATGTACAACAAAGTGAGTCTAAGAAAAACATATCAAAAACAAAAGCTGTTAATGATTTAGCAAATACATCTAAGAGCTGGTTCTTTGAAAATTTTAATAAAATAGAAAACCTACTCAGAAGTCTAAAGATAATGTAATGTGAATACTCAAAATTAGAAATGAATATAGAGAGAAAAAACACAAGGTAATATTTTATATACCTTTAAGCTACTTTATTTATATTTTGATTATTTCATGATTTTCTTGAAAAAAATTTATAAAACTGATCTTGTTCCCTAAATTACAAAAATCAAAATAAACCAAGAACCAATACCTATAAAGGTTCTAGGACCTAATAATAAAGAAAAGAGTTTTTTTTTTTTTAAATTTCATTGAATACATGAAACATAAATAACTGTACAATCATTTTCTGATTATTATCATAACCATTACATAAAACCTGTTTTATTTTCAGCCATTTTTTATTTACAGTTTGTGTTCAATGCAAGTGAATTCAATTACATAAGAAGTTACTATGAATCAAAGCATAAATACACAAACACAATATACAGTCCAAAATAGATGTACACCATTCTGGAATGAAGCATGAGTGTTCATTCACACACACGGTAGCTTCAGATCTGCTTGATCTGTTTGTTCCCATGTAGTTTTCTAAAGATGGAAAAAAAATGACTTTGGTCATCAAGACTACTTGGGACATCTAAGCATCAGTGTGTGACCATACAAACGAAAGACTTCTGGGAGTGTCTATTTTCAAAAAGGTTTCTGTGTGTCAAGGCAGTTTTAAAAGATTTACTGCAGAATCAAGCCCACTTTTAAGCTTAGGATCAGGCTCTGTCTAAAAATATTGAGTGATAATAAAAAGTGTTCCTCATGTGGCTATCCTGATCTAGTTGTTGGTTTTTTAAGTATACACAGGAAAAGTATAAAAGCATTTGTGAATATAATACAAAATAGTTTCCAATCTTCATTTTTCAAATACTTGATTTACAATTTTGGCTCCTTTACATTTTTGCCTTTTTAATTTCAAGATTTGTAATTTTACCTTCAAAACTTTGTAATTGCAAAAAGTATTCAACATATGCAGAAATAAAAAGCATTTTGACAGCTGGGCACGATGGCTCATGCCTGTAATCCCAACACTTTGAGAGCCTGAGGCAGGCATGTCACCTGAGGTCAGGAGTTCAAGACCAGCCTGGGCAACATGGTAAAACCCCATCTCTATTAAAAATACAAAAATTAGCCCGGCATGGTGGCAGGCATTATAATCTCAGCTACTTGGAAGGCCGAGGCAGGGGGATCGCTTAAGCCTGGGAGGAGGCAGAGGTTGCATTGAGCTGAGATCATACCACAGCACTCCAGCCTAGGCAACAAAGCAAGACTCTGTCTTAGAAAAATAATAATAATAATAAGCATTTTGAAATTAGTTGTGATCAGTGCACTTCTACTCTTTGGAATCAGTTTAGCTAAATGAATGTAGTGCTCTTGTTGAATGGAAATAGGTGATAGGAAATGCCTACCATTTGACTCGATATGGACAATCAAGAATTACTCAGAATGCTTGGACCTGGGGGTAGATTCTAATTCATCATTACCCTGGCACTTGTCAATTGCTACATAAAAGGTCAAATGCAATGTCAAATCCAAAGCCTCAAGAGGAAAGTGAGTTGTTTCCAGGAGATCAGTGATAGCTAAACAATGTAAAACTTCATCTAGAGTATATCGGCATTAAATTAGTGCTATTGAAACAATATGTTAAGGAATTACAGTAACACCTAGAAGTTCCTTCTAATGTACATACAAATAGAATCATGGAAGCTTTTTATATTACCTTTTTTTTTTTTTTTTTTTTTGGAGAGGAATCTTCATTTTACTCTCTGATAAGCCATACAAATGACATTTCAGCTATGAGGGCTAGCTTCCAGGTTTTCTGTTGTTGTTTAGAAGATGCTATTATTATTCATTTTTCTTTTTTTTAATTGTACTTTAAGTTCTGGGGCACATGTGCAGATCTTGCAAGATTGTTACATAGGTATACATGTGCCATGGTGGTTTGCTGCATTCATCCTCACATCACCTACATTAGGTATCCCAATGCCCCAACCCCCTGCTATCCCTCCCCTATCCCCACTACCTTCTAATAGGCCCCAGTATGTGATGTTCTCCTCCCTGTACCCATGTGTTCTCAATTGTTAAACACCCACTTATGGGTGAGAGCATGTGGTGTTTGGTTTTTTGTTCTTGTGTCAGTTTGCTGAGAATGATGATTTCCAGCTTCATCCATGTCCCTGCAAAGGACATGAATTCATCCTCTTTTATGGCTGCATAGTATTCCATGGTGTATATGTGCCACATTTTCTTTACCCAGTCTGTCATTGATGAGCATTTGGGTTGGTTCCAAGTCTTTGCTCTTGTGAAAAGTGCTGCAATGGACATACGTGTTCATGTGTCTTTATGATAGAACGATTTATAATCCTTTATGTATATACCCAGTAATGAGATTACTGGGTCAAATGGTATTTCTATTTATATTACCTGTTTTATGGCCTTATAGAATTAATGAACCAAATAAAACTGCATCTCTAGTCCACAATCACATCCCTTATTTCTATTCTTATCTCCTTCAGTTCTGCTTTGATCTTACTTATTTCTTGTCTTCTGCTTGTTTTTGAGTTTTTTGATCTTGCTCCTCTAGCTCTTTCCATTTTGACAACAGGGTGTTGATTTTAGGTCTTTCCTTGTTTTTCATGTGGGCATTTATTGCTATAAATTTTCCTCTATACACTGCTTTAAATGTGTCCCATAGGTTCTGGTACATTATGTCTTCGTTTTTGTTGGTTTTGTAGAACATTTTTATTTCTGCCTTTAATTTATTGTTTATCCATTTGTCATTCTGGAGCAAATTGTTCAGTCTCCATGTGATTGTGTGGTTTTGAGGGCTTTTTTTTAAATCCTGAGTTCTAACTTTATTGCACTGAGAGACTGGTTGAGAGACTGGTTGTTAGGATTTCCTTTTTTTTGCATTTGCTGAGGATTGATTTACTTCCAATTATGTGGTCAGTTTTAGAGTAGGTGCAATGTGGTGCTGAGAAGAATGTGTATTCTGTGGATTTGGGGTGGAGTGTTCTGTAGATGTCTATTAGGTCCGCTTGGTCCAGATCTGAGTTCAAGTCCTGGGTATCCTTGTTGACTTTCTGTCTCATTGATCTGTCCGATATTGTCAGTGGACTGTTAACATCTCCCACTATTATTGTGTGGGAGTCTACGTCTCTTTGTAGATCATTAAGAACTTGCTTTATGTATCTGGGTGTTCCTGCATTGGGCACATAAATATTTAGGATAGTTAGCTCTTCTTGTTGCAGTGATCCTTTACCATTATATAATGCCCTTGTCTCTTTTGATCTTTGTTGGTTTAAAGTCCATTTTGTCAGAGACTAGGATTGCTACCCCTGCTTTTTTTTCCTCTCTCCATTTGCTTGGTAAATTTTCTTCCATCCCTTTATTTTGAGTCTATGTCATTCTTTGCACGTGAGATGGATGTCCTAAATACAGCACACTGATGGGTCTTGACTTTTTATCCAGTTTGCCAGTCTGTGTCTTTTGATTGGGGCATCTAGGCCATTTACATTCAACATTAATATTGTTATATTTGAATTTGATCCTGCCATTTTGTAACTGGCTGGTTGTTTTGCCTGTTAGTTGACACGGTTTCTTCATTGCATCATTGCTCTTTATGATTTGGTACATTTTTCCAGTGGCTGGTACTGGCTGTTTCTTTCTATGTTTAGTACTTCCTTCAGTAGCACTTGTAAGGCAGGTCTTGTAGCAACAAAATCTCTCAGCAATTGTTTTTCTGTAAAGTATTTCATTTCTACTTCACTTATGAAGCTTAGTTTGGCCGGATATGAAATTCTGGGTTGAAAGTTCTTTTCTTTAAGGATATTGAATATTGGCCCCCACTCCCTTCTAGCTTGTGGGGTTTCTGCCGACAGATCCGCTGTGAATCTCATGGTCTTTCCTTTGTGGGTGACTCGACGTTTCTCTCTGGCTGTGCTTAGGATTTTTTGATTCATTTCAACTCTGATGAATCTGATTATTATGTGCCTTGGGGTTGCTCTTCTTGATGAATATCTTTGTGGTACTCTCTGCATTTCCTGGATTTGAATGTTGGCCTGCCTTGTTAGGTTGGGGAAGTTCTCTGGGATAATATCCTGAGGAGTGTTTTCCAACTTGGATTCATTCTCCCCGTCACATTCAGGTATGCTGATCAAGTATAGATTAGGTCTTTTCACATAACCCCATAGTTCTTGGAGGCTTTGTTCCTTTCTTTTCACTCTTTTTTCTCTAATCTTGCCTTCTTGTTTTATGTCATTGATTGGATCTTCTATCTCTGATATCCTTTCTTCTGCTTGATCAATTTGGCTGTTGAAACTTGTGTATGCCTTGTGAGGTTCTCATGCTGTGTTTTTCAGCTCCATCAAGTCGTTTATATTCTTCTCTAAGCTGGTTATTATAGGTAGCATTTTGTCTAACCTTTTTTCAAGGTTCTTTGTTTCTTCGCATTGGCTTAGAACATGGTCTTTTAACTTGGAGAAATTTGTTATTACCGACTTTCTGAAGCCTGCTTCTGTCAATTTGTCAAACTCATTCTCTGTCTTGTTTTTTACTTTTAATGATGAGGAGTTATGATCCCTGGGAAGAGAAGAGGTGTTTGATGGTTTTGATGGTTTTCTGGTGTTTGATGGTTTCATCCTTTTTGCACTGGTTTCTTCCTATCTTCATGGATTTATTTCCCTTTGATCTTTGAAGTTGGTGATTCCAGGAGGAATCTCTGAGTGGATGTCCTTTCTGTTGCCCTTAGAGCTATATATCTCTTGACCTGTAGAGTCGCTGCTGGCCTGCCTACGATTCAGTCAGGTTGCTGGGTGGGTGGTTCTTCCCTGGAGTTTGTTTGCAGGTGAGATTAGCCCTGCCTTCCCAATGGCATCTCTCCTTCCTCAAGCTCCATCTTCCTGGTTGGGGTCAAACAGATGTATTTGCTGCTAAGCTCTCCAGTGGACTGGCTTCAGTCTGAGTGTGGGGTTGGGCCTGCCAGGCCTTATGGCCTGTTTCCCTGCCTTCAACTCTGCCTTTTTCTGTGGGACGGTCCATCTACCTGGTGTTGGTCCAGACTCCCACTGACAACTTGCAGCACCCGGCGGGGAGCCATAGCTCAGGTCTGCACCTAAAACTTGTGGCACTTGGCAAGAGCCATTGCTCAGATTTGCATCGACAACCCATGGTGCCCCTCAGTTTGGCAGGTTACTCGCGGACCTTGGGTTGCAGGAGGGATGAGGTAAGCATAGGATCTAAATCGGAGCACCAAGGTGGTGAAGTCCCCAACCCTCTTAGCCAGCTGCACATTCCAGGTGGGGACGTGGCTCACCCTGTCTCTGTTCACCCTTCCTGGACGGCTCTCACCCTGTGGCTCCTTCCCTGGGCTATTTTCAGTGCCCTACCAGTCCCACCAAAGTGAATGCAGCACTTCACTTGGAATCGTAAAGTCCTCTAACCTCTGTGTCTCATTTGCTGGGAGCTGCATTCTGGTGTTACCTCCTCTGGGCCATCTTGGCACACCCCCCCATTGGTCTTAGATTTAAACCTGACCCATGAATCTTGATTTTAATAGAACCATTTGAATTTAAAAGCTAGTGCTGTGTCTGAAATGTAACAGTACAGTTGAATTACATCTTGATGAACTCTCACAAAGTGAATAACCTAAAACTGTGCAACCACAATGCAAGAGAAGAAATAGAACATGGACAGCATCTCAGAAACTAACCTGGTATCCTTTTCCTATCTTTACACTTTCTCTATGTTATCAAAATGTAACTACAATAATTTATTTATGTCTTCTACTTTTGATGAACATTTGGATTTGAGAGAGGCTTTCTTTAAAAATATTTTATTTTGAAATAATTTTAAACATACTATAGATGTTAGAGTTCCTATCAACCTTTCCCTAGTTTTCCTAGCTTTCCCTAATGATAGCATCCTACACAAGCACAGTAAAATGATCAGAATGATACTAACATTGGTACTATGCTGTTAACTGGAGACTTCATTCACACATTACCAGTTTTTAAATAAAGTTCTTTTTCTGTTCCAAGATCTAATCCATAATTCCCTATTATGTTTAGTCATTGTGTCTTTTTAGTTTCCTTCAATCTGGGGCAATTTTTCAGTCTTTTATATGTTGATGGATTTGGCTGGTCAATATTATGTTGAATTCTGTGTTTATATTCATAAAGAATTTTGGTCTGCAGATCTTTTCCCCTAGAATGTTTTGTTTGGTTTTGATATCATGATAATATTGGCATCAAGGAATGAATTAAAACTGTTTAATCCTCTTCAATTTTTTTGGAAGCTTTGGAGACAGATTTGGCATTCTTTATTTATTTATTTTTTTTAGGAAGCAACTAGAAAAAGCTTTTATTTGTTCAAAGTAACCAGTGCTATGGATGCAAAAGTAAGACTCCATCAACTCTTCCAACACTACTTTCAAAACGAATATATTAAACCTGATTTTCATTAGGATGTAGGTATTTCGTCACACTAGTAAATGAAAAACCAAGACTCAAATTACATATATATATCTAAAACATATATATCATATATATAAACTAAGTAAACAATTACTGAGCTTCATCTTCTGGACAAGATTGCCAAGTTAGTCTCTCTTCATAAAAATCAATTAAAATTTTAGGAGGACACTTCTTATTTGCCTCTTTCACCAGCAGCAAGTCTGCCTCATATTAATCTTTCCATTTCATGAGAAACATCCATTCTCCACTGCTGTCTGTGGCACCAATTATTCTTTCAGGATCAAGGCCTCTAGCAAATCCTCTTGGTTTGTCAGCAGCATCTCTTCTTCTTTGATTTGCTATTGTCAGATTCACTGTTAAATATTTTTTTTGTACTATCTTTTTTCTTTGCCAGTTATTTGATAATTAAATGCTTCAATCAACCCTGGACAATCTAAATTTTCTTCAGGTTCCTAAGTATTGTCAGCATCTGTAAATCTCTTCGACTTCAGGAAATATTCCACTTTCCATTCACTACCCATCAATCTAGTACTTCTTCCACCACAGATTCTCCAGATTCTGCCTCCTCAACTTTTTTACTCTTTTCATTCTGTTTCTTTCCCGTTTTTTGCAATGCAGTTTTATTGGAGGCCAATTTTATGGCAGACTTGAGCCACTATTCACCAATTCCTAGCTGCTCTGGGTCATGGGTCTGTGGCATTGGCATTCTTTTTTAAAGCTTGGTAAAATTCAGCAACAAAACCATCAGGTCCTGGACTTTCCTATGTGGGAAATTTGTTGATTACAAGCTATATCTCTTTACCTGTTGTAGGTCTAATCAGGTTTTCTATTCCTTTTTGAATCATTTTTTGGAAGTTTATGAGCTTCTCTATTTCATAAAAAAATACTTTAACAAAACTATGGACTTAATAGCCCTATAGATGTCTGTAGAACACTCCAAACAATAAAAAATATACAGTCTACTTAAAGGCACATGGAATATGCTCCAGAAAAGACTATATATGGCTTTGTATATATCAGATACAAAGATACAA